CAGAGTTAGAAATGCAATGCTTTTGTTCTACATGTTTTCTAAGTGCAGGCCAGCTGTGTCCTAGTGGTCCCATCAAAGCAATGGAGAGTCGGTTGCCATCCTGGGAGAAATGGGTAGTGCTGGTGTTATTACAGGAGGCTATATAAGTTTTTTATAGGTGGTTAAGAGATTTTTCAGAGGTAATTTTGACTACCTAGAATTTTTCCTTACTTCCTTACTTGATGGCTCTATCCCTTACTCCCCACTTAAAACAGAACTCTCATTTGCCAAGTGGAAAGAGGTAGACTCCATGTAGGGCCAAGAGCATGTGTGACGTGAAAGAACACTAGGAGCAGTGGGGAGACACTTGCCCAGGGACTGGATGTGAGGGTCCTCCCACTTAGTGTGGTGGTGCCCCCTTATCCATGGGGGATATGTTCCAAGACCCCTAATGGAAGCCTGAAAATTCAAATAGTATCCAATTTTACATGCACTATGTTTTCCCCACACATACATACCTAGGATAAAATCCAGTTTATAAATTAGGCACAATAAGAGGTTAGCAACAGTAAGTGATAATAAAATAGGCCAATGATAGCAATACACTGTGATAAAGCTTTCTGTCTCAGAAAGGTTATTTGACGCTTAACCAGGAGTACTAAGTGACTAACAAGTGGGTAGCATATACAGGGTGGATATACTGACAAATTGATGACCAACTTCCTAGGTGGGGTAGAATGGAATACTCTGAGGTTTCATCATGATACTCAGAATGACCTATAATTTAAAATCCATGAATTGTTTATTTCTGGATTTTCCATGTGATGTTTTTCAACTGTGGTTGATGGCAGGTAACTGAAACCATAGAAAAGAAACCATCAGCTAAGGGGAACTACTGTAATATAGTATGAGTGGCTTATCCTTGTCTTGAGAAGATTGTCGAAGTGATGGTTGAAACCAAGCCACTCAGATTTTCAGGTAATGAAAGAAAGAGCAATTGGGCTAGCAGGCCAGAGACCTCAGTGCCACTGCTGGCTTTGCAGGTCATTAAGTCTTCATTTACTGGTCGTGCCCTACCTGTAAAATAGAGAAAAATAAAAGTAGTTCATCTTGCCTCAACTGGATCACAAGAGGATTGATGAAATTAATACACTTTGGGAAATACAATAAGCTTTAAATGCATTTATTGAGTTGAGTTGCTAGCTACAGTGCTCTGGTTCACAATTAAGTATAGCAGATAAAATGTCTGGATTATTGTAAGAGAATGTATGTAAGAGAATCGTAGGCAAATCTTTACCACTTCGTAGCCCCATTATTTTTGCTAATCTTTTCCTATGAATAGAACATTTGATAAAGATTCAGACTAGAATGAGGTCTCTCTGGGCACCATTAAGGTCTGTTTTCCTGTTCTTTCTCCACTTTCAGGGGACTCTGGATACACAGACCAATTCTTTTCTTTTTCCTTTTGGTCATTTTTCATGGATTCTGACCACAGTTGTACCTCGTGGGAATCGCCAGCTAACACGTGCCGGGTGGACTCATAATCCCCTCTTAATTTCCAAACCCTTTCACCTCCGACCCCATCATTCTGCAGGCTGTGTCCTCTCTAGCCGATTTCTTGAGTTTCACCAATAGGTGGTGCTAGAGAGAGAATGGACTCCAGCTCTTCCCACGCAGCATGGTTGTGGTAGAAGCAGCCGACTGTAGCCACTAGCCTTTTCTAGCCCTTCCAGAACCTTCCACTGCCTCTTGAGCAGTCCTCAGCAGTGGCTATGTCTCTTTCTCAGCTATACAGCCTTGTGCATCTTTTACTTTTGCCGCATCAATTCAGGGGTAGTAGCCACTTGCTCTATGTTAGTTTCATCTTCCAATACCTGAACAGTCAATGCCTGTATTTCACTCTCCTGTGGTTTCTGATTGCCCTCACTGTACCCTGGCTGATAACACCAGTGAAAGTCCCCTCCACCTCCAAATCTTGTTGCATCTTATCCCTTTAGAGGATAACTCATTTGGCACTTCATGAATGTTTTGAGGAGTACCTTCAGTGGATGTCATTACATTTTTATCAAACACTTAATGCCTATCCTTTGAACACTTCGGTTGAGGGTGTTACTGGTTTCTGGGGTCAGGGCATGAATGGAAGGGGCTACTTTACTACCCTGAGGTGAAGTTCATTTTCATTTAATAACCAAACCACTGTCACTTCCACGCAGAAAATCAAGTACTACAAAGTAATATGTCTCTCTCTCACTATCCACTCTGCCTGTCAAAACAAACAAACAAACAAACAAACAAAGTAATATGTGATAAAAGTGTATCCTTAGAAAATACCAGAATTTCTACTGCCCCTGAACATGGCAGAATACGAGAAAATAAATAGGCATAGCTGATATGGCCCCACATGTATGCATTCATACATCACTTATAAATTCTTGTCTCTGTGTTTTTTTCCATCTCAGGAATTACATAAACTTTGCTTTTTTAAAATCCATGTCAAACCAACAAACAAATGCAAACTGAAAACAACAGCCGCACCAAAACAATTTCTATTTCCAGCCATTGCTCTCTCTCTCTCTCTGGTGTGTGTGAGGAGTCGGCCTCAATGTCATCACTATGTTACACACGAGGCTTAGCAAACAGACTCAGAGGAATTCATGACTTGCTTGCTTTACTCAGCTAGCAAGTGGCAGGTCACCCGGCTTGACCCTCCATTACTGTCTGTGACACTTTCCCGGAACCCAGCCGTCCTCTGTCCCCTGCTCCACGGGTCCTCCCAGGTAGGCAGCATCCTTGAGACCATGTGGCTGCCCCTGCCACTGGAAAGGAGAGTCCAGTCTCTGCTTTAGAAGGACACAGCTCTGCCTATAGGTTTTGCTCCCCTTTCTCCGACTTTCCTCTTCCCCAAAGAAGAAAGTTATTTTCAAACCTCCATCTGTTTTGTGTTTAACGTGCAGAAAGGTTGCACATTTTCAGGGACCTTGTTCATAAGCAGTAGATTGTACAACAGTTTATTACACAAGTGGAGGTTTTTATTGCTGGTCTTTGTTGCGTTGCCAACTGGGAGAAAGAACATAACGTGCTTAGCGGTCCCTATCAGGAGAAATGAGAAAGCATTAAATACCAGTCAAATCGTCCAGCATCGAAACGCTGGTAATCGAATCCAGAAACCCCTGGAGCACAGCTGGCGAGGAGGACTTTTCTCATTAATAGTATTTTTACAGCCATAATTGTTCCTCAAGTCCCTTATGTCACAGGCAGGATCCCGAAGCAGTGCATGAGAAAGGTGTGTCAATGGCGGAGGAAATGTTGGATGGATAAAGATTCATGTCCACTTCAAAATCTGGCCCTGCTCAATGCAGGGTATCACCCTGGAGCTCTAGGAAAAGCTTCCTGTGTGTGTGTGTGTGTGTGTGTGTGTGTGTGAAAGAGAGAGAGAGAGAGAGAGAGAGAGAGAGAGAGAGAGAGAGAGAGAGAGATCGACCGACCTGGGAGAAGCTCCTGGCTCCTGGCTCTGTCCTGGCACAGCCCTGGCTGTCGCAGCAATCTGAGGAGTGAACCAGCAGATGGAAGATTCTGTGTGTGTGTGTGTGTGTGTGTGTGTGTGAAAGAGAGAGAGAGACAGAGAGAGAGAGAGAGATCGACCGACCTGGGAGAAGCTCCTGGCTCCTGGCTCTGTCCTGGCACAGCCCTGGCTGTCGCAGCAATCTGAGGAGTGAACCAGCAGATGGAAGATTCTGTGTGTGTGTGTGTGTGTGTGTGACAGAGAGAGAGAGAGAGAGAGAGAGAGAGAGAGAGAGAGCGTGCTACCTTCATAGTGTTGAGACCATCAGAGCTACTGAATCTCTTTCCTTACCCCCGCCATCGACTCTGTGCTCCTAATATGGAATGTATTTTACTACTGGTTTGTCCCCTGCCATGTGACAGAAGCAGAAAACTTCCACAAGCGCCCTAGGAAACACTGCATCACAACAATTCCAATCATAACAGGTCAATGCCAGGGGCAATGGATTACTCCCGTGCTTTCTCCGCATTTTCTCCAAAAGCGCAGATCATCCCAGGGGCTGCTAGAAGAAAGTTGAAGACTTCAGAAGCGCTCCAGGCTCATGGTTCTCAGCCTAGCCTGCTCATCAGGGTCACCTGGGGAGCCCCATCCCCGCACAATGAATTAAAATCTCTCAGAGTGGTGTGCTCCCCAGCTGATCCTCATACACTGCCTAGGTGGAGACTATAGACCTGATCCTAATGCCTGGTGGATCTGGAGGAGGAAGTGGAGCCTAGAGAATTCACTGCCCACAGTAATTCATTCACAGTACAGTGGTTCTTTCTTCCAGCGAGGTGGTTTCTCATCTGTACTCTGAAACCCTATACGGACATGTTCCACATCTCCTAGGCCTCCACTTATAAAAGCAACACATTCCACCCTAGCCTGCACCTTCCTTTCCATGAACACAGATAGTTGTGCAGTGACCCGCATTAGCAGCAGAAACTCAAACATCCCCCAGGAATGCAAAGGAGACCGTCAGGTCCACAGGAGAAAGCATCCGAAGGTCAACAAGCAGCACTTGAACTTGAAACGAGACTCAACCTCATTCTCCATAGTCAGTCCATGATTGAAATCCTTGCCTGTTCGAACAAAACAGTCCTAGCATATGCCTGAGCTCTGGTATAAATGTGAGTAGTACCTCCCATCACTTTCAAAAAATCTGCTAAATTGAATATTAAATGATCTGCTTACTATAGCTTAGTCCCACGGAAAATGTCATCCACACCGTCATCGGCAGATTCTTTTCCAGACTTAGCATCCCAAGCCTTTTCCTAACCCACGGGCCACGTTCTAACTTCACTCTTGCTGTGAGTCTGATAAACAACATACTCCATCTGATAGACAGTTAATACCCAGGGGGCCAATGGTCGGTAGCCTTGGACTTCTCAGCTTAATCACCCTGGCTTTAATGCCACTTAAATCAGAATGTAAGCACTGAAAGAATTCCAGGAATCCGATGATATAAATTGTATTTTTAGAGCCGTGAGTGACTTGAGCGACTGAAACAGAGCAGTGACTAAAGATAGTTCTCCTTGGTTTTCCCATGATTTATCACAAGCGAGTTCACAGCAGGTTAAAATAATTGAATGTGGTGATCACACACATACGGGCATGGCTTTATGAGCCGTCATTCATAACATATTTGTCACAAAGCATAATTTCCATGATAGAAACTCTGATTCACACGCAACGCTGTTGCAGCGACGACATAGTGGAAGTAACTCCTTCGTGGAGGCTGGCGATGTTAGCTCAATGTCCAGGCTCCAGCTCCAGCTTTGGGGAAAAGACAGCAAGGAAGTGACTGTGTCCCAGGCGAATATGTGAGTACCTCCTGACCAAATGCTCCCTTTGGGGGCAGGTGTTCGGCCTAGCAGTGATGGTGCTGGGTAGAACGCCCATGTCCCACATCTGCGTGCTGGGGTTTGATGCTAACTGCCTGGGAGGTCGTAGGTGTTGACTCAGGTCGTCGGCTCCCTGCCACCCCTGTGGGAGACCTGGATGGAGTCTCTGGCTCCTGGCTTTGACCTTGGCCCAACTCTGGCCATTGTGGGCACTGGGGGAATAAACGAGGGGATGGGAACTCTGTCTCTGCACCTCTCTCTCTCTCTCTCTCTCTCTACTGCTCAAATAAATAAGTGATCTTTAAAATGATCACTTTTATTGGAAGATAAAGAAAGAAATTTCCATTACGGCAGTGATTACGACTCAGGGCTCTCCATTGTGGATTCTTACCTGTTTCTTGCCCCTTGGTTTCTCTTTGACTTCTGCTCTTTGTTTTCCGCTTGAGTCCCGATGTACTTTTTCCTCTCCTTAGCAGCTGTGTCCCTGCTATACTCTGGAGTGACTACACGAGTTCTTGGGGGTCCCTTGTGCGGTGTAGAGATAGGAGACGTGTGGCTGCACGCAAGTCCTGCACTCAGCTGTGTAGGAAGTGCAGCTTGCCTTATTTTTCTATAACTCTACTTAATTTCTATTTGTAGTCCCGATTTGGCTTAATCACAGAGATGTAATCTCAGTCAAGTCAGGACGTCCTCATCTAAACCCAGGGGATAGCACAGGACCCGGCCGATTCTCCACCTTCGATCCTGCTGGGATGTTCTATCGCTGCCCCTTTTTTGGGGGGTGGGGGGCGGGGGCTGCCGGGCTGCAGGGGTGGGTGGCAAGTGCCCAGGACACCTTCCTGGGCCTGCGCCATCCTTGTCAGTTTTCCTGGCTTCACTGGCTCGCCTCCTTCTCAGACTTGAAGCGTCTTGTCTGGTCTAGAGAAAAAGTTTCCCAGCTTTTCATCTTATCTTTCAAATCTTTGGTTTATGACCAGAACCTGAGACTTGGTCCTCAAAAGCTGAAAATATGACTCCTCTGTTATCTTCCTTTTGCCTGGTTTTCCCTGCCCTGAAGATTTGCAGAAGGCCTGGTTGCCTAACCGGGAGAAAACACAGGAAATACCAGAGAAAACATATGGGCAAATATCTCACAAGTTTCTCACCATAGGCATTAGGCTGCAAGAAGCAGTCCCAACATACAACAGGAGGCCAACAAAGATGACTACTATCTTTATGCAAAAGTTTAAGCACTGGCTCCATGTTTCCTGGCTGTGCCCAGGGACCCATTAGTGAAGCTTTGTATGCCTCAGTTTTCCCCTCTCTAAAATGGGGTTTACAATAGTATCTACTTTACAATGTCATATTATTGAAAGTACTCAATGGCTTAAATACATTGTTCTTATTATCACTACTACAAACTTCTTCCCTTAAAGCTGTTGGTGCCATGATTGTGATGATGTGGTCTGAGGCAGGCAGAGAAGATTGACACATCACACCTAGCATTTCACAGGGAAAGATGAGGCTACTGGTTCCAGGCCATCAGTCTTGGATGAGTTTCTCAGAAATGCAATCCTTGGAGGTAGCTCTGTGGCATAGTGGGTTAATCTGTTTCCTGTAGCACTGGCAACCCAGGTGGGTGCTAGTTCAAGTTTTGATCCAGCTCCCTGCTAATATGCACGGAAAAGCAGCAGAAGATGGCCCACGTACTTGGACCCCCTGCAACCACTTGGGAGACCTGGATAAAGTTCCTGGATCCTGGCTTCAGCCTGGCTTTGCCCTGGCCATTGCTGTCATCTGGGGAGTGAACCAGCAGATGGGAAATCTCTGTCTGTGCCTCTACCTCTCACTCTCTGTAACTCTGCCTTTCAAATAAATAAGTAAACCTTGAAAAAAAAGGAAGAAAGAGACAATGCAAACCTCTGGATAAAATCTGAGTGGAATTATTCTGAGGACTGGTTAAAAGGAATCAGCTTACAGGAATCAAGGGAGTCCTGGAGTCTAGCATAGAAGTGTGGATTCCTGGTGGGGAGCTATTGTCTGGATTGGAAGACAGAATCACGCTTCTGATGCGGGGGACAAGGAGACAGAGGAAGGCAGAGGAGGTAAGTTAGACACAGGTGAGCCAAGTGTGTGTGTGAGGAACATGCCTAGTGACCACTGATGGTGATCTGGAGCCAGAGAACTGGATATATGTCAGATCTCTCCTCTAGTTGAGGCCCATAGGCACCTGCAGAAGAGGTACCACTTCTGCGTGTGGACAGCAGGGGAAACTGATGGACAGACAATGGTCCACGGGTCCCCAGATTTGTGGGTTTTTTTAAGATTGATTGATTGATCTGAAAGGCAGAATTACAAAGAGAGATGGAGAGAGAGTTTTCTACCTGCTGGTTCACTCCCCAAATAGCCTCAACAGCCAGGGCTGGGCCAGGCCAAAGCTAGGGACCTGGAACACCATCCAGGTCTCCCACATATGTGGCAGGGGCCTAAGGGTTTGACCCATCTTTTACTGCTTTCCCAGGGGCATTAGCAGGGAACTGGATCAGAAGCAGAGCAGCCGGGACTCGAACCAGTGTTCCAATGGGGGATGCCGGCGTCACAGGTGTTACAAAGCTGGCCCCCTCCAGGTTTCAGAGGTCTCATGCCATCAGATGACCAATGAGAATGAGAATGTGGAGACCTTCTCTCTCCACGGCACCTGCCCAGCTGTTCTGTCTCAGAACCAGTCCTTCTCAACCCATTCTCAGCCAGAATGAACAATCTCAATGGGACAGTGGACAGGGAATCACATCAGAAGTTGTGAGACCTGAACTCCACACTCAGTCAACGGCCAACCAGTTTGTGTCCCTAAACATATCCCTCCACTTCCCTGGGCCTTAGCATCCTCGGGGAGGAGGTGGGACTGGATAAAAATGGCTTCATTTGGATACAGTCATGTGGCATAGCTAGGGGTGTGAGAACCAGAGGGACATCAGTATTGATTCTGTGTCTGTCATTTACCAGATGTAGATCAGCTTATTTAATTTCCTAAGTTCCAGTTCTCCTGCATATAAAGATGGGAGTGATCACAGCACAGCCTTCCTTTGATTACTTTGAGTTCAAAAGTGTATAAGGGGCTGGCGCCGTGGCTCAATAGGCTAATCCTCCGCCTAGTGGCGCCGGCACACCGGGTTCTAGTCCCGGTCAGGGCGCCGGATTCTGTCCCAGTTGCCCCTCTTCCAGGCCAGCTCTCTGCTGTGGCCAGGGAGTGCAGTGGAGGATGGCCCAAGTGCTTGGGCCCTGCACCCCATGGGAGACCAGGAGAAGTACCTGGCTCCTGGCTTCGGATCAGTGCGGTGCGCTGGCCGCAGCACGCTGGCCGCAGCAGCCATTGGAGGGTGAACCAACGGCAAAAGGAAGACCTTTCTCTCTCTGTCTCTCTCTCTGACTGTCCACTCTGCCTGTCAAAAAAAAAAAAGTGTAAAAAGTGTATAGGATGTGTTCAGCACCAGTGGGAAATACTGGAAGTACTCGGCTGGTTGTTGTCAATATCACTGTAGTGATTACTCTGTGGAACTCAGGGTTTCAATCAGGTCAGGACCTACCAAGTTGGTTGCGTGGGAAAATTCAAGGCTGTGGACCCTGCTTCATTCAGAAGAGCAGCTTTGTGTCTCTGTCTATGATAAAACTCAGTGTTCCACACATAAAAATAATAATAATGCTATAAAGCTCTGGATTAGGCTGAGGGTTGGCAAACTTTCTCTGTAAAGGACAACATAGTAAATATTTTGAGCTTAACAGGTTGCCATGCGGTCCCCTTTTCATTCCTTCTCATTTTATTAGAGTCGGGGTTAGAGGTGGGATTAGGCTAAGAGAATCAAGAATATCTATTAGGATAGAGTAATATGAAGAAAAAGAAAGGATAGGCACTTTGGCATAGTGGGTTAAAGCACTACTTGGGAAACCTGCATCCTGTGCGGGCACTGGTTCAAGACTCAGCTACTCCACTCCCAGTCCAGCTCCCTGCTAATGTGCCCCAGAAGCAACAGGTGATGGCCCAAGTATTTGAGTCCCAGCCAGACATGTGAGAGACCCAGATGGAGATCCTGACTCCTAAGTTTACCTGGCCTAGTCCCAGCCATTGCGGCCATTTGGAGAGTGAACTGGTGGGTATAAGATCTCCCTCACTTTCTCTCTATGTCACTCCGCCTTTCAAAGAAATAAATAAATAAACATTGAAAAAGCATAGTAGGGTAACTATTATACTACTGAGCTCTCATGTGCACATAATGAATTGAATCCAAATCAGTTTTATTTCCCATATCACAGCAAAATGCGAGTTAGGCATTGGGAAGTTACCCCCCAGAGTGTTTTGGGGAAGTAGAATCTCCATCCAGTGGCTTTGTAAGCGCCCTCAACTCTAGAGACCTCCTCTGGGAGGAAATAAAAGAGAGATGGGCCCATGTTTGAGAACCCTATAGAGATGCGAAGGCTGCTCTCAGCTCAGGGGCTGCACAGGGACAGAAGGCAGAATGCCCGTGGCCTGTAGGCCACAGTTGACCAACTCCGGGACAAGCCCGTGTCTCATTGCCTTCTGACGAGGAACCCAAACCCTCTGTGATAAATCTTTCTCTTTCTTCATCAGAGTAGCCTCGCTCCCCACCTTGAAAATATCTACTATCTTTCACGGGGCAATATTTTTCGTATTTATAACAGTTGTCAGATTAAGTGTTTTTGTTAAATTTTATGTGTAATATTGCACAGAGTTCGTTGGTGAACAGTTTTCCTAAAGCTGGTGGATTCGTTTCTTAGGGCTGCTGTCGTGAAGTACCGCAAACTGGGTGGCTTCAAACAACAGAAATTTATTCCCTTCACAGTCTGGAAGCCAGAAGTCCCAAATCAGAGTGTCGGAGCTTGGTTCTTGCCGAGAGGGCATCTGACCGTGCTTCTCTCCAACTTCCGGGGAAGCAGCCACCCTTGGCGTTCCTTGGCTTGCACACACGTCACGCCAATCTCTGCCC